CTTATTCAGTGAAATTACTACACTCCCCCTTGAAGTGCAAGTTCAAGGACATACTGTATATATCAGTTATATTTGTCTTTTGTTTTCCCTTCCAAATCTGTCCACCAACCACTTCTTTCTCCTGCATTCCAACAGTTGGTCCAAGGGGTAATGAAGACCAGAAGAGGTTGACGGTCCACTACACGACCTCTCAGCACTACCAGGACAATGTTTTCATTGAGGGCAACAGGCCACAGTACCTGGAGGACCTGCACACTGAAGCTCAGGAGGGACTCAAGATACTACAGCAGGAAGGTCAAACACATCCAGCTCATCTATACAGTGCATATGAAAACATGTATTCATAATGTGTACTCTTGCTAGCATATATTTGTGTGTTTTTGTCACACTTTATATAGCAAATACAATCAAAATAATTAAATTGTGTTGATGGCCATTGTAGTTTGTCCATCGTTTTATTTATGATTGCATCCCTAAATTTGGATACTATATATACATAATTATGGATTCCAAGTGTATGCTGTGTCTTAACCTTGTCAGTTTGGTTTACACAGAACACATGAATGGAGTGAATTTTCCTGATGATGAGAGCATTACTGTAAGTCCACCGGCCCTCTGTAGATCATATTTCCTGTCGTTCTGACACACTAACAACAGTACCAAACTAAATGCCACCGTGTGTGTATCTGTGTGCGTGTGTGTATCCCCTGTAGTCCACAGACACTCTCCGTCCAGACCAAGATATCAGCTCCAAGGACAGAGGTGGCTCTCCATCAAGATCCATTGACGGGAATACTGATACTACAGTAACTTCTGTTCTGTCCACAAGGCCTGTGATCACACGCCAAGGTAAGCAACAGTGCCTGAGTTTACAGTAATTTGTCAAAGGCATGTACTTTAGCATGCACATCTCATTCCCATCTGCTTGGTGCTTCTGCAGTTATGATGTGAAATCAAAGGAACTTGACACGCATGCACACATAGCTAATGCTTTTTAAGGTTACTCCAAAGTATCTGAAGACATTAATATGGCTGCTTCTGCATATCACATCTGAAAGGCAAAGCTTGCCATTTTGCCTGTGAGTGTGTGCACACAGTGTGATTCATGTTCTGATCGTATTTCACACATCCTTTTTAAAGCGCTCAGGAAAAGCCAGTTCATCAATATACTTTACTGTTTCAGTGCATTACAGTGCATTGCTCCTGTTATTTCACTACTGTTATTTTGTGCTGCTGTTTCTTTGCAAAAACACTCCTTCTCAAATTCAGTTACTGTAATGAGGTAGTTTTCCCTCCATCTCTCAGGTTCTACATTCAAGCCCTTGAACCCAGTGAAAAGATTAGAAAAGGGCAAGAAGAGGAGCAGAAGGACCACCATCATGGGCATCCCCAACCATGTCCAGAAAGAACTTGGTATGTCCTTCAGCATCATCCTTGCTTATTACAGTGTAGCCCTGGTAGTAAACATGTTATTGACATGATCCACCACCTTTCCAGTGGTGCACAGAAGCTCCACCTTCCAGCCACTTGTTACTACCCAGCTCTCTAATCATGACGAACAAGTCAGTGACAGTCAATCAGGTGTTGTTATCATTCTTACGGTTGATGGAGGGACTCCAGTAGCAAATAAGGAGGGAGCAAGAGTGCACCTTTCAGAACTGGAGGTAAAATGTGTTCACTCAATCATTTTAATCTAAAATGTAGGCTTTGTGCTTTTTTCACTGATGAATATTCTCCACTCATAAGCTGGAATCTGGAGATGAGCAACTGCTGTGGAAGAAACTACAGGCAGTGTACCAAGATGAGCCATCCTTCAACCACCAAGGTTCTGGTGCCCATCTCTGCTCCACATCCACCCTGAGACCCAAGTCTGTTGCTGTCCCTGGAATGACCGCTTCATCTTCCTTCTGCCCTACAACAGTGCTTAGCTTCTTCCAGGAACCCCAGGTCAGAAGGAAATCAGACTGTTACTTCAGGAAATGTTTTCAAACTTCAGGATTCAATCTGGTCCTGTCCTAACCAT